AAGGATTTTGCCTTGAACAATTCAGAACTGGTGGTTAAAGTAATAGATAGGTGAGAATTACTGCACAGAAATATTAGAATCGTGGGTTATTCAACAACAGTCGCTGATTTAGTAACTCTGGAGTCTCACCATTACAGCTTTATTAAGGAAAATGAATTTTAAGAAGCCCTCTGGAAATCAATGAAGCAGAGCAGCAACTTGCTATAGGTTTCCCTTACCAAAGCAAGAAGCAGCTTGAAAGCAAAACAAATCTTGCACAAAAATTCAAATGAAGCAGCAGTGAGTGATAATATTCTTTCTTTTTGTGCTCCCTGGACTTCAGCTCTGAACTCTGTTAAACTTTCACATCCAAGTTACACAGTGACTTGCTTTGACTTCACCACTCTTCAAAAACAAGTTTCAAGTGCAGAAAAACCCAGAAGCTAAAAGCCAACTCCATTTTGGCTGAAGACAGGAGAACAGACCCAAGCCTCTGGATGCAACAACTTCTTTACCTCCAGCAGCTGGAATTCACAACACAGTTGTTATTTGCAGCATTAGTGAGAACAGTTCCTGCTTGCTTTTGTTGTCTGTGTGGGGAAAATTCTGCAGAATATGAGACAGACAGAGGGTGGCAGCAGCACCTCAACACTCAGCGTTGTAACACCCAGAGCCACAGGCATTGGCAACAGAGCTTCAGCGCAGGCTTACATGAAAGGGTTTAAAACCAGAGCGATATTTGACTTGTCTATTAATGCCTGATTGTATTAATTATGTTATTAATCATGCATTTAATTTACTCTTGCACTGTTTTGTCTTTCTTTGCAGCAGTGTTTTATTTACTCTCATTGTGCCTGCATCTTTGCAGATCCCTCCGAATCTGGAAAACTTTCCTTTTTACAGCAACTCAAAAAACACCATGAAAGATCAGAGAATTATTATTTCAAAAGCCGATTCTCATATCATTCATCTTTGAAAAACATCTTAGAATTCTACAGGGTGTCACAAAATTCTGGTAAGAGGCACTTTGTGACTTCTTAAGAGTAATCTGCTCCCTGGATTCCAGTCTCACTCATTGCTGTACCCGAACATTGGAGCCCATGAAACCACTGTTCCCTTGCAGCTGCTGGTACAGAGCAGCAATCACCAATTGTGATTTAGGTTAGCCATTGCCTTTGTGCTCCTGTGCACCTCTAGGCTTCTGGAGATGGGCCTTGGATGGGCTGCAGGTCCTGTGAGGGGCCTGGGAGCAGCTGGACGATGCATTAATTGGCCGCCCCCTGTACCCTCACACCACTGGCTCTCTTTTATCTTAACAATACAAACCTAATAATATCTTTCTAGCACCTAACTTTTTTTTTGGGGGGGGGGGGAATCAGTTAACACCAAACATAACTAAGGATGGCAACCTGTCGGATTGGACTAGCTTCTTGGCTTGCTATATAACACATGAGAGTAGAGAAACAAAGGCATTTGAAAAGAACTTGCAACTCTGGCTTCCAAAGTATTATTTACTAATTAGAGATTAAGGATTACGAATTGCAAGAAATAACCTTGCTTAATGCTATTAATTAGTTACTGCCAGTACTTAAAAGCTGAAATTTGTGTGTGCTTCTTTGTTTCTCAATGCCTGTGTTGTAGGTAGGCTTTGCAAGTTAAATTCTCTGTCTGTTCAGCTGTTGGTAAGACTTTACTTGCCAAAATTCAGTCTGCATGAGTCAATGTTGCCTTCGCAACACATTCTGGCCTGCCTGAAAATCCACTTTTTCTATGGTTATATTGCTTTTCTATAAATCTCAAAATAATTTCAGTATGATTGGCCAAAAGAATCTTTCCTGCTCTGAACAAGTGCAGACCAGCTCTGCACCCCTACAAAATAATAACATTCAAATAAGGATTTGATTACTGATGGAGATATTAGGGATATACAGGGATGGAACAGATTCCCTGTGAGCACAGGTTGAGAGCTGAGGCTGTGCTGCCTGGAGAAGAGAAGGCTCTGGGGAGACATGAGAGCGGCCTTTCAGTACCTAAAGGGGGCTGTAAGAGAGAAGGGGACAGACAGCAGGGTCAGTTGTGATGGGACATGGGAAGTGGTCTCAAACTAAAAGAGTGGAGATTTAGGTTGGATATAAAGAGAAAGTTTTGACAGTAAGGGTAATGAAGCACTGGCACAAGTTGCTCAGAGAAGTGGTGGTGCCCTCTGCCTGTCCATGGCAGTACTCAAGTCAGGATGGTCAGGGCTCTGAGCAATGTGGTCACTGCAGGGAGTGGGACTAGATGGCCTTTGAAGGCACCTTCCAACTCAAATTATTCTGTTATTCTATATTCCCTTATTATGCTAAAGACAGCAAAGACTCCGTGTTACTTTACCTCTCTTCATAAGACCTTGGTAGCTTTTATGTTGTAAGTTGTTTTTGGCTCAGGTATGACCAAAGGCTTACAGAATAGTAAATGCTAACAGTAGCATTACTACTGTTTACAGTATATCCTGCTTCTTTTCTGTTTCTCCCACACATTTTGCCTTAACTGATCTCTTTTGAGTTGATAATATGCTGAAACTCTGCCCCAGTGTCTTCAGAGCTTTCTATACAATCGTATGATTGGTTTCTTCTCCTTTCAGCTGATGTTCTTTATTACTCATCAGTAATTTTCTTCACTTTAATGGCTCTCTAGGACCAACAAACTTATTCCTGCAGCTTTAAGTTGCTTTTCCACTGCCTACTCCTTGCCCAAAGGGTACCAACTACTGCAAGAAAGGTCTTTTATTTTACCTAAAACTTGATATCTCCTCCCAAAACCACAATGAAGCTTGCAAAAAGTAGACTCTTCCCCAAACCCTGAGATGCCTCTGTGAGAGTCTTCTCAAGCTGGGTAAGAGTTAGTTCATTTCAAGGATGCATTTTTTTCTAGTTCACACTAAACTTTGCTCTAATTACAAAGAAAAATGATTGGAGGGCTGCCGTGTGTTCACAGCAGCCTGTGAGTTCTGCTCCTCTTCCTGCTGGCTAATTAATCTTACAGATATGTGTTGTTCTAATAGCTCTGATTAGCTAGTGATGATGAAGATGAAACAGCGTTCAACTTGTCTACAATAACACATGAAGCTTTGATATGCTAATTCCACACTCAAGGTTTTCCTTTCGAGGGAGTCAGCTGGATTTTGCTTTCTCTCTGTTTCCATCCCAGGCAACAAAGCTCATATTATTGCAGTTTGCTTCTGGCTTAAATTCTGTGTCATAGCAGGCAATTAGTAGTTATCTCGCTGCATTACATTGCTGCTTTCTCCTGGGGGGTACTGAAGAAGGCATAACCCCTGTGTTTCTGCTTAGTGTATCTACAGGCATAACTGCAGAACTATAGATACGTTTCGAACCAGCAAATGTACATCCACACTTTGCCCCGTGTGACTCAGCATCACGTGCCCAGCAGCGTGCCCTACCTCGTTCCAAGCACGGGCTCCCCCAGCTCTCCTCCTCCAGCTTTGGTGCCCATCCTTTTGTGCAGTGGAACAATGTTACACGGGATGTCACCTCACTCCCTTCATTTGGCAAGCCCAGGCGCTGCCGTTAATTATAGAACGAAAGACATGTAAGGTTCATTGAGAATTCATTCAGGTCAGCATCCAAGGGAGGATTGATGATCCTTCTGTAACTGCTCACAGACCTTCGTCTAACTTCTTACTGACTTTTGCTGGTAGGTTTTCTACTGCCTCCCCCTCAGTGCTTTATTACTATCATTACCAGCTTGATCTTTTTCTTACTACAAGAAGAAATACATTTACCTGGTTATTATTACTTTAAACTTCTTTGCAAGAGAGAATCTAAATGCTGTTATGTCCAATGTAAGTGTTATTCTTAAATACAAAGAAGGCTGTAGGTGATGCCTGTGCAGCAAAGTCACATTGAGAACCAGGCAATATCACTGTAGTATGTCGTAAAGGGATTAAAGACTGCTTTATAAGAGATATTAGAAATTAATTTAAATGAGAAATTACCATCAGAGAGGCTCCAGAGGAATCTGTGCCTCAGCCAGTGCTGTTCTCTTACCTCAGCCAACCCTTTGGAGTGAAACGAAGCTTTGCTCACAGAATTTGCACAGCTGAAGACATAGATAATGGCACAACCACAGCAATTTAAGACACAAAGTGAGCAAGTGCTGCATGAACACGTGTTTCATCCACCTCCACAGCAAATATCTGTGCATCCAAATCACATCGTGTACTTTGGAGCTGGCAGTAAGGAAGGGAAATGCCATCTCTTTGAGAGCATTAAATCAAAGAGGGCTGAGGAAGCTGGGACGGTAAATATGTCTCAGGGCCAGGCTGGATGTGGCTCAGGGCAGCCTGGTCTGCTGGTTGGTGACCCTGCACACAGCAGGGGTTGAACCTGGATGATCACTGTGGTCCTTTTCAACCCAGGCCATTCTGTGATTCTATGTTAACTCAAGCTGGCAATGCCACGTGGCAACCAGAGCAGCAATTTGAGCTTAAACACCAAAGAAATACAGCGTCCAGGAGCGCGTCCTGCTGTGTGACCGTGACCAAAACATGGCACAGTGACGTGACTTTGGGGGGATGGAGATGAATTGCACAAGGTGTAACAAAGTGGACGGGTCCACTGAGAACCTGAAAGAACGAGTCACTGGAAAAAACTGTACTCGGAGATGATATGTAATTATCTACACGGCAAAAACGCAGCAGGAAGACGCTAATTTTTGGTACGTAGCAAGCTCCACCTGCTAGGGAAGCTGCAGAATGAATCCTGCGACTACATGCGGCTCCTAAAGGTGCCCTATCCAAGGCCGGCTGGAGGTTAGGCTTAGGGGATTGCAACTGACGGAGCTTTGCGCTGCTTTCCGAGCTCCGCCGGTCAGCTTCACAGTGCGCGGCGACGGCACCCGCAGCTCCCTGTAGGGAACCGCTCCAAGCCGAGCACCCGGCGGCGCCCTCAGCCCGCGCCCGCCGCCTTCCCCCACAGCGGGCGGCCCCCGCCCCCGCCGCCATGTTGTGGGACGGCGAAGGAGGAGGCGGCGCGGCGCGGGCGCTCCCGGGCGGCGCAACAGGTAGCGGCGGCGGCGGCGGCGGCGGCTCGGCTGTGCGGAGCGGGGGGACAGGGGGGTGAGCGGCGGCGCTGTCAGCGCGGCGGGGCCGGGAGCGGCGCTGAGGTGCGCGGGGCGGACGGTGAGCGGGACGGAGCGCTGCGTTGTGTCGCTGCCGTGAGAAGCTGCGGCTCGGGGGGCTGAAGTTGGTGGCAGTTCGTCGTCTCGACGGAAAAAAAAAAAACAACAAACAAACGTAGTTTGCTTGGAAACTCAAAGGTTTCACCCGTGACCAACAGCTGAATCCGCCGATGCGGCGGTGATGGTTAGAAATAATGAGCTGTAGCAGCTAATTGGGTAAATTGGGTGCTAGCTGGGCTTCATTCTTGCGCTAAGCTTCATTTTTATGGTTCTACTTTACTTCCCGTTGGGTTCATCCATCGTATTTCGGTTGTTCGGTTGTTGTTTTTTTCCCCCTGGCTAAATTACGGTGTTTCACAGCACTCTGGGTCCTTGGAGAAATAATTGGTCAGAGCCCAGGCCCTGTGTGACGTCCAGGGGATGAAGAGCATCCCCACAGGTTTGGGTTCGGGCTGCTCTGTGCTCTCTGCTATGGAGAGATTTTGGTCAGCCTCCTCAGTCAGGTGCCCAAATTAGATCAAGTGAGTATGATTTTCCGTTTAATTACTGCCCTGAGGGAATTGCATTTATTTTTTTTGTTCCTTCTCCTGTCTGTACAGGATCAAGGATGTGAGGTACATCCGAGGAGCAGCTCAGTCTGGGATGTAACGTTCCCACAGCGTTATCGTTTATGGAGTTGTCCATTGCAGACGTTTCATGCTGTCGGTGCTTTATGGGCTGCATGCTTTCTTACCATTCTGATTGTGGGCAGAGAGAGATTAAGTTCAAGGCAGAACTGAGTTGTTAATGATTTTGAACAGTGTTGCTGAGAAAAAGCTTTATTCAGTTTCAGATATTACAGCGAGGGGGACCACAGCGAGTCTTACAGTAGTTTTATTTACAGATAATTCTGTTTGTGGTCCTTAATAGAGAAAAGCAAATTAATTTTGTTCCCAAGCAAAGTAGCAAGCCATCAAAATTGAAGTTAAACCATGGGGCTGATAGCAGTTCTTCATTCATCCACTCGTCTGGAGCTGGAAGGGGAAAAGAGATGGGATTTATAAAGAGAAAGGTGGTTTGTGTGCTTGACTTAGAGCAAAAAGCTTCACACCTCCTGACCACAGGTATCTGCTGAGAGAAGTCCTCATGGTTAGGTCCTGCCCAGCAGCACACTCAGCTCTCTGGTTCCTATTGCAAACAGGGACAGATATCTCTGACCTGTTAATTAACAGTTTGCAAGTCTGCTCTTGCCACAGAAGCAGCATCTTGGTCAGCACGTAAAATTGAGGAAGGCGGTGTTTCATGAGATTCCTTTGGAAGTCCTGAGTTATTCTCTTTTCCTTTCTGAAATTGCCTCAGAAGTTGGACATCCTCATTTTTAATATTTGTTTCTGGCCTGCTTTCACTTGAGAGGAAATACCTCAAATATCTTTTTTTTTTTTTTTTTAAATACCTTTAAACTGTTTCCCTTTGCTTCTGTTTACCTAAAATGTCATCGCAGAATAGTTTAGTTTGGAACGGGCTTCTGGAGGTGGTGTGGTCCAACCCTGGCTAGAAGCAGGGCCAGCTGAGATCAGCATCCAGCCATGTCGGAAATGCCTCTGGGGTGGAGATCCTCAACCTTTCTGGGCAGCATGCAGCGGGCTTGGCATCCTCTATCCTTTCTGCAGGGTTATGCGTCCCGCTGCCCAGCTCATCAGCAAAGATGTCAAATGGTATTGGCCCACTGCTCTGCTTCACCAGTCTGGCTCTCACTATAAGAATGCACTGGTAGACCTCATAAAAGCTGTTGGAGAGTCAAAATGAGCAGCACCTGCTGCTCTCCCCTCATCCACAGAGCACTCAGATCAGAAGAGAAAGCTGTCAGGTGGTCCAGGAGTGGCTTATCCAAAATAAATGTGAGCTGGCTGTTTGCATTCACCTTTTTCTTCAAGCATCAGTACATGGCTACAACAGAATCATCACAGAATCATAGAATGGCTTGGATTGAAAAGGCCCACAATGCTCATCCAGTTCCAACCCCCTGCTGTGTGCAGGTCACCAACCAGCAGACCAGGCTGCCCAGAGCCACATCCAGCCTGGCCTTGAATGCCTGCAGGGATGGGGCATCCACAGCCTCCTTGGGCAACCTGTTCCCGGTGGATGGGTTATCCTCCTTAATCTTTCAAAGGATTGTAGTCAGAATTGAAGCCTTTTATATGGCTGAATTGTGCCTCTTGCCCTTGTAGAAGATGGGTGTGATATTTGCCTTTTTCCAGCATCGAGATCCTCCCCCAGGCACCAGAACCTTTCCAAAGCCACAAAGTCTTGCAGTGACCTCAGCTCGTGTTGATGGCAGCACCAGGCCCAGCTCTGTTCCACGTATAGCATCTGCTGCCATTGATTGTTTTCACATTGTTTTGACTTCTGAAAGTCACTCTTAGTTCAGAGTAATGCCACATCTCTAGATAAAGAGCTTAAAGGATGGATCCTGACATGTTTTCAGGGGAAGGCTTGACATAAACATGGTCCCTTTGTGAGAGCTGGGCGAGCAGTAGGATTTATGTCTGTGAATTTGTGCTGGATTACTGCTAGATTGGAGCACTCATTTCATTGGCTGAGTGGTGTGTGAAAGTTAGTGACCTTTCTTTACCTTTCTCCATGTCTTAGGTGACCACTGGTCTATAAAGATAACAAACGTGCAGCTAATTGGGGAATTACCTTTTTTATGACTTTGACTCGTTCAAGCACTGTCACTTGTCAGTAAAACACTTGCACAAAGTACTTCGAGGTTGTGATGTTTATTTTTGGTATGAGATAAAACAGTATTCTGTATTCTTTTAGCTTTAAAATCAGTTTACCATCTTTTACCTTTTGAAGTTGCATTTTCCTTCTGTAGCCTGCACAGGGATGGATGGTGTAAAGGAATACTTTGGAGGGGAAGCGCTCCTGTTAGAGCATCTGCTCAGCCTTCCAGTGCTAAAGCAGCTATTTTAAGTGATCCTCACATTTTCAAATGCTCATTTGCAAATGTTGCAGGTGCCAGAATACCTCTGGAATTCAGTTTCTGGATCTTTACAGAACCGTGAGGCTTGTAAGCTCAGTTTCCTTTGAATGATGGACTGATATGCACTGTAATTTTAAAGCCAGGCTAAAAATGTCAGCATGCTGGTCGCTGGCACGTTGTGCTTTTGGTCACTGATGAATCCATCTATCAGGATTTTTAATTTATTCTCTAAGCCTTTCTCTAGAAAACAAGGGAGTTGATTTTGTTTTACAAGGCATTTTCGATTCCTCATGCAGTCCCACATGCTTTGCTGTATTGCATACTGCAGCATGATACAGAGACTGCAGTGACTTGTTTTTCTGGTGCCTTTAGCACCAAATGTTCAAAGACGCGTAAAATAGCAGTCAGGAAGGAAACGTGGAACTGATGCAGTTTCGTTTCTACTGAACTTCAGCACGTTTAAGGCTTTGCTTTGGTCAGTAGGGGAATGCAGTCTGGCAGAGCTGGCTGCTACTGGGCTGGGTTGAGCTGGTAGTGTGCAGTGAGCACTGCGTTGTGTAACTCTTGTTCTCAGAATACCACATGAAACTCAGATGACGTAACGTGATGATGGAGTAATTCACTGGAATTGCTTAATGGGGAACAATTATCTGAGAGCTATTTTTAATTCTTTTTGCAGTTACAGGTTGTAGAAAAAATGTCGTTGGTCCAGTGCTGCTTTGGGACTGCAGTACCAGGGGCAGCAGATGGGATGGGAAGAACTTGGTGTTGGATGTTGTTCCTTCAGCTTTAGAAGGAGGAGACTGAAGTTCAGAGTTGACTCCTCTATTAAGAAGTTTCAGGGCTGATGCAAGTGAAGCTTCTGAAATGCTGTGGCATCACTCCTGAGTGCTATCTGTAGTTCATGATTCAACAGTACATGAAGCAACGTTTGGGAAGAACAGGAAATAGGAGTTACTCCTCTTTGTTTCTAAAAATATGACAATTGCAGTGTAAAAGAATTACCCATCATGGCCATACTGCGGCCTATCAAAAATCAGAGCTGATTTCCAATGATGCAACTCTACCTTAGTTCTCAGAGGTGAAGAATTTTAACACTAAATATTTAAGTCTTAACACGTGTTAATGTGTTTACATTACTAAGAATTTAGTAAGATCAAACTGTCTTTCTAGCTATGTATGATTTAGCTCCTTGGGACTTCACCCAACATTGAGATGAATCATAGACTCGTAGGATGGCGTGGGTTGAAAAGGACCTCAACAGTCGTCTGGTTCCAACCCCCTGCTGTGTGCAGGTCACCAACCAGCAGCCCAGGCTGCCCAGAGCCACATCCAGCCTGGCCTTGAATGCCTGCAGGGATGGGGCATCCACAGCCTCCTTGGGCAACCTGTTCCAGTGCCTCACCACCTGATGTTTGTCTGACTCCAACAACAATTGATTCCCTGAGTTCATGAAGCTTGGTTGTAATGTCAGCACGTTACTTGCACGCTGTATAGCAAATTGAAGGTTAAAAACCAAATGCCAATTGAACCTCTCCCTCACTTGTTTTCCTGTTATGACCTGAAAGAGTCCTTGCTTAGCTAGCAAAGCCAGACTTCCACAAAACACTGGAGATCCTGAAAACTAGTTACTGCTCTTACACTAACGATCATACAACTGTAGTTTGTCAGTAGGTGCTGTGCACTTCCCAGTGTGCCACTCATATAGTTTTAGGGCACCCAAGTGTTGTTCTGGTTTTGCCTGTATCTCGGTGTCTCTGTGTTGTAGGAATGCTTGGAGGGGCAGTTGCTGATGGGACAGGATGACTGTGACACAGGTGGGGCTGAGCGTGGTGTGAACTTGGATCTTCAGATGGTAAGGGAGAGGTGCTGCAGCCTGGCTTTCTTCTCCCGTGGGGCTTCTTTGGCTGTTCCATCA